TTTATTATATATATATATATATATATATATATATATATATAAAACTTTGAATCAAGAAGCAAAACAAGGAACATTGTATGACTTATTCTTTAAAAGAGCATAAAATTTGTCCTTGTGTTTGAGTTCTAACTGTTGTTGTTGCCTCTGCCCTACAAAAGGTAGAAATTATATTAGATATGTTATTGTTATATCGATTTATCAAATAAGAAAAATATAAAAAAATAATTGTCAACTAACTAGTTGCGAAGTTAGGTATTTTTCTATCACGAGTAATTTTGATGTCACAACTAGAAGATCGATAAAATTAAAGTACTTCGTAAGGGGACAAATTATCCAAACCCAAACTAATGTGGGATTCAAACATATCTACCATCAAGAACCAATTCCTCCATCCTTGAATAAAAATTTTAAATTCGAGCTTTGATAGTAAAAAAAGTCTCAATAAAAACGAGTTTTCGTTCGATATATCCTACGTAAGCATGAAATGTAAAATAACTTGAGCTAACGAAAATTTCAAATATTGAATAATTATATGCAAATTACATTTTTTATAATTTATATAATCTTCAATATCCAGTTGTCATTTGAAAGTTGAAAGTCTTGTGGGCGTGCACACCATATACAAATAGAGTCTAAAAATGACTTTTGAATAAATCCTATGTGATGGTGTCCTATTATTAATTACTGCTTACGTTCGGAACTGTTTATCATGTTACGCTTATCAAAAATTAGTTTGATTAATTTTAAAGGTAAATTAGATCACATTAATTCGATATTCTAAAACTATACAAAAAGTACTATAAATTACAATTTTTTGCATTTTAATATGATGAAAAAATATATCTTAAAATGTTAGTCAAAGTTTGCATAGTTTGACTCTAATTAATAGAAATTATGACAAATAATTCCGGACGGAGAAAATAATTAACAAGGCATATCATTAGTAAGTATATTTGTTTTTTTATTAAAGGTTCCAAAGTTGAACCTCGAGTAAAAAAATCACTTTTGCTAGAAAATATTATTTTATCTCGATAAAATCTTTAAGTATCAGATATCGGTTTATCAAGAAAAAAAATAGTTTGACTACAATAGTATAGTATATGGTTTGAGCATGTCTTAAGGTTGGAAATTAATTAGTATAATGCATTATTATAATTACCAATTTTGAGGGTCCTATTATTCCTTTTCCACTCCTCCTACAATTTAAGATTATTTTTTAAAAGAGAGAAAAAAAAACTTCCATCTATAAACTGATTGCAAAATTCTCAAAAATGGGGCTTTAGTATATATTAATGAAGTTTGTTGACATAATTTAAGTAATTTCATTAGGTAAATAGTTTCTATGCTATAAGCAAAGATGAAAAAAAGACGATACAATGTATAAAACACTTCAATTTAACAATCGCAATTCAAAAGGTATGATGTAAACAACCTGAAAGATGTTATATAAAAAAGACGATGAAAGTATTTTTCAAAGTTATCTTAAAGATGTGTAATCACAAACCACTAGGTTAATTCCAAATTAGTAGAACCATCAATATTTATATTGAGACATATTTGACATCTATCACTTGTAACGATGTTTTTTTTCTTTCTATGGATGCACTATGGATTATCTAAATTGCATCAAGACGAGCATTCAAAGGAGTCTGGAATTTAAAGGGTATAAAATATTAACAAAAATTTTAACATTTTGCAAAATCGATACAGTAGCAGTGATTTTGTTTTTTCCGGCGGAGGAAATCGTTGTTGTTCCAACGATTTTGCCGTTTTGGTTAATATAAAATTTTATATACCGTTTTAAATTTTTTATTAATATTTTATACCTTTTAGGCTTCCAACCCAGCATTCAAAAGGGCGAGATTATAAGATTAATCTCTAGATAAATCTTATATATTAAAAAATTTACTAATTTTGCATATGCAAGCATTACAACACTATGATGTATTCATAATAAAAAAACATATTATTTCAGGACAAAAGAAGAGTCACAAAAGAAGTAAAACAAATTTTAAAAAGGATAATGACCCCCCCCCCACCCCAGGGTGGCTAGTCCATCTATAATTAGGTCAATCTGGGACAACAGAATACAAAAACAAATTTAGGTCATGCACCTGAAGTAGGCCCATTTCATGTTTTGACCGGACAAAACGAGTGACAGTGTAACGTAATCTGAGCTCGAGTTGTCTTTTGTTAGAGAATATTTTATTCATTTCGAAATATAATGTGAAACTTTTTTAAATTTGAATTCGAATTTAATTAGACCCCAAATGCCTAAGACTGAGTTGGAAACCAAAATGATTCCATATTAACCACATAACAACTCTTCCAATTTATACATCATGAACGTCTCTAGAAACACTTGGTAAGATAGTTGCTCATAGTAAGAAATGGTAGATATCTCGTTGAATTAATAGTTGTTTGTAGTAAGTGGTGGCAAATATCTCATAAAGTCTAACATTGTGAATTGGCTCGAACAATACGATTATAAAAAAATTAAAAAGTTTGATGTGCTTTTTCCTCTACCACAACAATACTCAAATCAAATTAGCAATTTTACTCCTCCAATCAAAAGGTGTCAAAGGAAGAGAAGTGCTCTATCGATCTTAATTTATATGACACAGTTTGATTTGAAAAAAACACTCCTTCAACCAGATGTGCGGTTATAAATCTTTAATTTCAAGATTTCGAATTAATCAATATGTGACATTTTTATTATGACAAACTAGAAAGAAAAGTGTGTAACGTAATTTGAGATAGATGAAGTAATACATAATAGAAACACGCTAAGAAGTACTCGTGTGAAGATAGACTATCTACATTATATGCCGTCGAGCTCGAGTTGCTTTGTGCACCAAACTACCTTCTTTGTCTTTATCCACAAATCAGGTATCATCATTAGAACATCACACTAGTACTGTTTTGGCCTTCTATATCCAAGTGGTGAATAATAACACAAAAAGTAGCTATGCTTTAACTGACCAAAATACAACACACAGGCAATTGTATGAACCAATTTCTATCATCAAACAAATATTTAAGATAAATTTTCAAAATTTATACCCAAACGCTAGCTAAATATTTGCAAAAACTATTCTGTGGATTCTACTCGTAGGTTTTCCAGCATCGTCTCCAGAGTATCCTTCCTTCCACGTTTTTCATTTTTGGAGATAATCGTTGTGTTTGGACCAGGTTGAATATCCTGCCATAGAGGACTACGAAAAGCAAGTCTGGTAATTACGTTCCATCATGAAGTAGCGTTACGAGTTCTATGTGGTTATGTTCATCATCTCTGAGGGACCAAAAAGATCAATATCATGGTAAATATCAAGATCCTAGATAAGGGGCTTACCTCATAAAATAACACTGATGTTTTAGTTGTGAGCTACTCGTTGTTCCAATAGTTTCGCAGCTGTGACATATGTAGAAGTAGCTCATCCCTGCCCAAACCAGAGACACTACTAGTCATTATCCATGGAGGTTGATGATTGTAATTCTGCCTGATTAGCTCTTGGAAATCTCTAATATTCTGATCGGGCCTTTTCGCCTTCCCTCCCTTCATTTTGTCACACTTCGTGAAAACGAATGTAATTGGTATCTGCATATGTGTTGCATGAAAGTCAGTTATCAGGAAAAAAAGAGAAACATGTCGTATGAAAGTCCACAATGGTACGAAATTATTTACTTATAAGGAGTAAACGGGATAAATGATAATAACCACATGAAAAGAAACGAAAATACTAACAAAGACCACGAAGATCAGCAAATCAGAAGCATACCTTATTGCGTCCAAGCCAATTAGCACAATCAAGGTCAATCTTCTGAGGGGGTACACTAGCATCAATTAAAAGCAGAACCGACACCAAGGTATCTCGATTCAAAAAGTAACCTTTTGTGAAGGAGGACCAATCCATTCTAGCAGCTTCAGAAGCATTAGCAAAACTGAAACAAGTAACAATTAAAAACTTAGAAGTAGTCAAAATAGTCGATTTCCACATTAATGCAAAAGGTACAAAGAGCTATCAACAAGTGATGGAAAAGGATAACTAAAAATCTAGAAGACAGAGCAAACAGGAGAGAGTACAAACTCACTACATAAGGAGAGCTTCTACAACTATGCTCAAGTCAAGGAAGGGGAAGACAAAGGAGAAGAAATCCGATTCAATTACTTTGATGAATGATACACTTCTGGCTATAGGAGTCGAAATTGAATAAGGTCAGGTTCTACAGACTTGTAATTCGTAAATAGTGGGAAGCCTATCGAGATCTATAAAAAAAAGAACACAAAATGAAGCAAATATAGCCTTGGTGACCATTTGGCTGGTAGATTTGTAACATCACTCAACATTTTATTTTACTCCAATACATCTTCAAATAAACATCACAACAGAATAATCTAGACTGTTGTATCAAGATGTGCACAAGAATGGACATGTCTGATTTTTGGTTTGGCATTTACAAAACTTCCACTGAATTATGTTGAAGCCAGGTGAACTGATTTGTCTAGCCCACTGTATACTAACACTAAACTGCGTTCTGCTCTTTGGATCTTAATAAATATGCTATTTCTCCCTGAGGCATTGTCTGCAACCATCTATTTCTGTGGTCCAGAGGCAGTAGATGTTATGTTTGACAGCGGTTTCCTCCTTCCTTTTACATATTTAGAGTTGTCTCTAATAACAATTTGTGTGGTTCCTGCTCTTGAAAATGTGGAAAGCTATTGGGAGTGAAAGAAGCCATGTCTCTCACAAAGGTAACTAGGGAAAGCTATTTGTATGACCAGGTTTTTTGCTGCAGCAACAAGGTATACTCAAGGGTTTAGAGGAATAACATCACATGGTCAGAGAGATGACACTACAGCTTCTTGAATTGAAAACTTTAAGAAAACGTAATTGGGCATTCGCAATGTGAAGCTTTTATTGGGAAGAATGAAGGATACTATTTCCAGCTAAGGTTGGAACCGTGATGCATTTATTTGGAACAGTGTAAAAGCAGTAACATTCAAATAATAGTACTAGCATGTAAGCAATTCAAAAATGAAGAATGTGGGTCTTCTTTGGATTGCAAATCTAATTTTCATCTTGGAGAAGACTGCAATGTGCTTTATGAGTGCCAGAACAGGTGTATCTGAAAGTAAAGACATGACATTCAATGTTTAAAATTTTAATAATCTGTGTGGTTGTAAATCCAAGATGATGGCAAAGACAAAATTAGACGACTGGGATCAAGATGAGGTGTTTTCTCATTTGAAGCTTTTTATAAAGATTCTCAAATTGAAAAGAAAATAAAAAAGACAGCCCCATGCACTAGAGCTCCCTCTATGTGCGGGGTACGGGAAAGGGACGGACCACAAGGGTCTATTGTACGCAGCCTTACCCTGCATTTCTGCAAGAGACTGTTTAAATGGCTTGAGACAAAGATTCTCAAATTCCTGGTGGAAAACACTCTCTTTTCAAAATCCATCAAGGTAGTTCTGTTGTAGGGAAAGTAGTCGTTTCTCTTTCCTCTTTTTCTTTTAATGTGTTGCCTGTAATATCATCACCCTGCTCCCCCATACAAACTAAAAGTTCATCAAAAACACAGTTTAGTAGCTAGGAATGAAAAATTGAAAGTAACACGACCAAACAAGCGCAATTTCTTCAACTTAACATAGTAAATCATGTAGTTTACCCCAATTAGTTTGGTTTTGAGGTGCACTTTATTGCATAATGTAACAAACCAGTAGCTATGATTTATCATACCAATTGAAGTCGTATTACTTCGTTCGAATAGAAGCATCAAGTATGGTAAGCATTTAGTTGAGACTACCGCTATAGCCTACTAGCAGGGACGGAGGTTATCACCATACACTGTTCGGCCGAACCAAGAGCTTTTGCTAAAAAGTGTATGTATTTAAAGAAATTATTACATAGATATCCTTGGCTCCACCTCAGCCTATTAGTCCCCAACCAGGTAATGCTAACACTTTCTAAAGTAGCTTTACCCAACACCTTTCATTGTAATGGTAAAACAGCTCGACCTATCAAAGGGTGCTCTAACAAAAGAAAAATGAAGAAAGGCTTACCCATAACCAGGCAAATCCACAATGTACCAACTCTTGTTCACCAAAAAATGATTAATCAGCTGAGTCTTCCCTGTACAGTTAAACATACTAACATCAGAATCCACCTCTAATCCATAGAAATACCAAGTAACTACCAAAATCCAGCTACAACACTCAGAGCTAGCTAGCCATCCATTCCTACTTTGACGGCTATGTTTATCCAACACTCATACTTGTATACTATAATCATGGGAGCTAGCAGGCGGGAGCTACAAGCTGCAGAACTCAATAGCTTTGGCCTAGACCGTGTATCTGTGTTTAAAAATCCACTTGATATACATACAGAAAATAATCCAAAACCTTATCAGTAATCTCAAAATCCTAGCTTTACCTTGGGAAGCTAGGGTGGTACCTCAAGGTTTCGTCCAAAACCCCTTGGCCGAAAAATTACGGTGATATATGTTTACTTATTATATTTTGAATCTCTCCAGTGAAAATCCTAGCTCCGCTAGCTATAACATGCTCAGTAATTAAACCAACAACAACAATATACACCATGAAATCCCAAAAGGCGCCAAAAAGACACTCAGCTCAAGAGCAGCAAATCAAAGTATTTATGAATAAAGGGAATACGACTATAAAGAAAACATGCCAATTATTAAGTAAAGCTATACATGGTAACATATATCAAAAGCACAATGTTCCCAGACTCACACCATGCCTAATCTCATGGAAAAGTTAGTCAAAACTCAACTACCTAATAACCTTCTATCCTAATCCACTACATTCATACCCTCTTATTTAAAGTCATGTACTCGATAAACTGAAGTTACATCATGTCATATCTAATCACGTCTCTCCAATACTTGTTCATTCAACCTCTACCTCTCCTCATAACCACCATATTCAACTAGTTTTCACGCACCTCGACTAATTCCACATTCTCCAACTATATTCAAACTCTCACACCTCCATATAGTGAGCAAATGCATAAACACTACATCCAAGCTCAGTAATCAAAAGATACATAAAAACTAAAGAATAGAGTTGCAAATTATTCAAACCTGGTTTCTTAGAAGTAAGAGCAACTTCTTTCTTCTTAACCAAAGCATTAATAAGGGATGATTTGCCAACATTAGACCGACCCAACATAGCAAATTCAGGTCTTTCATCTTTAGGACAATCTTTAGGCTTATTACTACTCTTCACAAACTCAACCTCTTTAATCTTCGCATCACCTGCATAGGGTCCGACAACTATATTGGATCCGGGTAAAATCATATCTTCCTTAATATCTTCTGGTTCAACTCCAGGCGCCATAAAAAGTACTTTCCTGGCCAATATTGAAGCTGAAGAAGAAGAAGAGTTGAAGGTTCTTGAAGATGATGCATAAATACTGAATTGGGGATTTTTTTGGATTTTGGGAGAAAAAGGGTTTCTGGGTTTGATGGATTGAGGGAAGATGGAGAAGAAATGGGAATGAAAGAGACGGCATTTTGATGCTATTTGCATTTTCTTGATGATTTTTGAGCTTCACTTCAATGGCTGCTCTGGTTCGAGACTACTTTTATCACTCCCTAGATATATTTTTAGCTCAATTCTAAAATTATACTTTGATTTTTATTTTTATTTTTTTTAGTCTCGACGAAGCTATGTCATTGTCCTTTGACCTTCGTTTGATTTCGATGGTCGATATAGATATTGTGAAATCGTCACTTTATTACTATGATAAAAAGTTCTCTCTGAATACTCTCAACAAATTTTATCAATTCACACCGATGACTAAGAGCTAATTTAAAGAATCATAAAATCTGCTTATTAAATAGAAACACAATCTCTAACTCCGTAAAATTGAATCAAAATATTCTCTAACAAGGGTATCATATTCTCGATTGTGGGTGGAAAAATGAATGCTACGCATGATTCTATCTTTCTAGTGTGAAAGTGATATAATTTGTGAAATTAAAATTGATATGTTTGTTACTATTGTTGTTAAAGTAAGATTGGCAAAATATATTATTTACAGCTATTTTGAAGTTAGAAATTTTTCTACTTTATATTTGTATACATGAAATTATAAGTTTTAAAATTTAAAAGAGAAAAGACATAAATACACCATCGAAGTTATTTCATATTGTCATAAAGACACCTAAACTTCAAAAATGTCTTATCACCCCACTAAACAACTATATATCATTGTAAATGGGTCATTTTTACCCATTCCCTCGTCTACGTCATGCGCGTGTTGCTCACTCCCTAGGATAGAATTTACCCGACCCTTATCTTTTGAAGAAAAGTTGTCTAACTTCTCTTCTCATCACCCATCACCAGATTAGTTAAAGAATTGGGAACATCCATGGAAAATCCAAAGCCCTTATAAACACACAGGCAATTAACAAGACAAGAAGCCTCTCTGATAAGTGAATGCAACTAAAACGACATCATTTTTACTGGGAACCTCCCTTCGTCTTTGTCAGGTATATCCATTGCATCATTTATTAAGTTTAACAAAACGGTGCTCATTCTCACCATTGTATCGATAATAATCTTCTGGTTAGTGCTTGTGTTCTCATCTTGAAGTATGGAAAGCAAACCCAAAATCGAGTGCATTGGTCGTCTCATCCCATTGTTCATTAAATTCTGAAACGAATACCTTGTCTGGCTTGCCTTCACAACATTCTCCTTAGCCTGTTGCTGCAAACCGTTCCTCGCTTCTAGTTTCTCCCTCATTAACTCTTCAAGAACAGTCGCATGGGATAGAGCCACAATGACCTGATCAACAACTACTTTCACTATCTCCATCTCATTATGGCTCCAATCATCATTTGCCCTCGGAAGAACCAAAACTAAAATAGCATAACGAGTGTCAATCAACTCAGGCGTCACACCTTTGAAATCTAAAGCAACATAGTTCTTGTTATAAAAATCAAAATATTAGGGCTACCACATCTATTTTGGGTTTAAATTGGGGAAGATGATATAAATTGATGAAATAATTAATAATAAAGAAAGAAAATGACATGTGGCACTTTTAAACTGGTCAATGAAAGTGAAAATTGGTCCATGACGCGCCTAACGTGCGTGTAAACAACCCAGACGAGAGAATGAGTAAAAATGACCCATTTACAACGATATATAGTTGTTTAGTGGTGTGATAGGACACTTTGAAAGTTTAGATGTCTTTATGCAAATATGAAACAACTTCAATGGTGTATTTATATCTTTTCTCAATTTAAAATAATATTTGGCATGTAATTTACTTATTTAAAAAAGTGAAATTTTGTGTGAGTGTATTTTTGGGGAGTGGAAAATGTAATGACCTAAATTTCTCAACAAAAACATTCATACATTATATATTATATCCTCTCACACGTTTTGAATATATGGATGATTTAAATTAAACTCGAAATATTTATCGAATGAGATAAGGAGAAGAAAAATGAAAAAAATATTATTAGTCAAAAATATATTTTTCGATTTTTTAAATATGTGTATTTTTTTAATAACGTCAGTTTGTTGATATCGAACGTAAATATTTTTAAAAAAAAACAATTCAAAACAAAATGTCAATCTAGTCAAAATATCCTCATTACAATCTTGTTTCCTATGAGATTTTTTTTGATCTATTATAGTCATGGATTTTTATGCACATATAATAATATAATTCTCTTTTTTTTTTTTTCGTATATTAATTTATGTTTTTACTAAAAATAGCAATATATATACGACTACGTTATGGACAGTCTTCAATCTACATGCACAAAGCCACTTGGCCAATGTGACGTAACCATGTCCACAACATTATTATTTTTATTTATTAATTATTATTATTATTATTATTATTAATATTATTATATCGATGTGAAACTTTTTGCATTAATTTAAATTTCATCAAACTACGATACCAAATATAGAACAAAAACAAAAACAAAAACAAAAACACTTTATTATAAACCATTGGCCTACTAAACTTTGATATATAATGAAAAACTTACATTAATCTCTTCAAAAAAAAAACAAATATTACACCAAATTAATCAAAACGTAGATTTCTAAATCTACACAATTACATTGTAACACAAAACGTGGTACACAAATACAAACTAATGAAAGATAGTTCGATACACTCAGCTTTTACTATAAACTAGGTTCGGAAAAGGCCGAACCACGAGGATCTATTGTAATCAAATGAAAACTTATAGGTCACAAATATTCAAGACCATGAAGTCTCATATTCAATCTTCTAAGCCAAACAGAATGAAGTATCATATGAAAAACATCATATCTTTTTGCAAACATATTAACTTCAAAATGTCTCCTAACTTGTTTACCTCTTCTTTGCAACCTTATATATTGCCTTGTTGAAATCCCAGACAGAATTTTCTTCAAGTCGGGGATTCGATCAACGGGGACTTCAACTGAGAACGATTTCCAGTTCAAAACATCGCTAAATGGTGGCACGTAATGGTCCTTAAGGAGGACGGGGACACATCCCGTGTAGAGTGCTTCAACCATTCGTGGACTCGCGACTTCATAACCACTAGGACAAAGGCAAAACTTACTGTTTCTTAGCATGCCATAGTATGAGACGCCTTTTGGTAGGTACTTATGGACTTGGATGTCATCGTCTTTGTTTTCCCAATGCTCGAGAAGTATAGGACGTATAGGTCCATGAAGCCCTCCAGCAAAGAACGCCAAGATTGATCTACGTGATGGAGAAGGACCACCGAGCAGGCCATTCATCGTACCTCCCGGGAGGAGGATCTCTGGGAAGGATACATCTTTGGAAGGCTTGAATCCTTCCGAGGTATTAGCATTGCATAACGCTCGAATTGAGTTCTTGAATAGCTCAGGAACAGACTTTGAAAGTTCAGGCCCCTAAAAGATCAGCACATTTCAAAACAATCATTACTCTAGACAACGTATGTTACCAAGACGGTTCGTGTTGGGAACGAGGATTATGTAAGATTCTTACCCAATCGTGGCACGCGAGCATGAAATGATCTGCGCCTAGGCTTCGATTCCAATAAGGATATTTCCCAGAAACAAGATTGATGTAATCCATAACGGTTTGTCTCATCGGATCCCAATGTCCTCTGGAGTTTCTATCGTATATGAAGTGAACTATCGATGTCACACTGATAGGTAAGAAGAACACATGAGCTTTCTCGGGGTCTCTAGTCCTGAATTTACTCGTCTCCATTTGATAAATAAAGTTCCCCTCCATCGCGTATATACTTTTGCACGGACCATTGTGAAAAATAGGCTGCTCTCCCTCTTCGTACACGAATACCTTCAATTCCTTTTCCATTTCCAAGTAACTCCTGAAATTAGAACCAAAAATATAGTTTTTGTTTTTTAAAACTATACGCGGCTCGTGAATCAACAGTTAACTTGACAAGGACGACGATGCTTTCTATTGCAAGAAGGCAAAATGAGAATAGACAGCGACAACGACTAAACATACTTCCATCAGACGTCAAGGCAGAGAATAGAAACACATTCCATTAACATGTCTCTCTCTCTCTCTCGTATTAATATAGGACCAAACGATCATATAAAACAAAAGCAAAGTAGACTTATCGATAACGAGGTCTCAGTTAGATTACCAAAAACATTCATTATGACCGAAAAACAGAACTATACCTATGAAAAGCATTGACATTCTAACACACTGGACCGACTGAAACATCTCGATTAAACATAATTCCAGCAATGTTACTATTCCATTAACATGTCTACCGCAACAGAATCATCATAATGATGGGAAAATACAGGACCAAACCATCGTATCGGGACCAAAAGAAAGTTTTGACTTCTTGACAACCAATAGAACTCATGTTATATTGATAATGATCGGAAAAAGAGCCACCCCTACGAAAAGGGCGCATTGACATTCCAATACATTGGACCAGTTGAAACATAACATCTCAAGTGAACATATTTTAGCAATAATGTTATGACAACAACTAAGAATACTTTTTCCACGAACATGTCTACCTCAACGCATATCACAATGGTAAAATATTGGAACAAACAATCATCTCGGACAAAATAAGAGAGTGGAAGACTTCTCGACAACCAACAAAACAGAGCCATACCTATGAAATGCTTTGGCATTCCAATACATTGGACCAGATGGAACATAGTCCGAATCATCCGTTTGATTTCCAAACGTAGCAGCTTCTTTGATGGCGGCTCGAGCTTTTCCCAATTTGACTTCTAACTTCTCCAAATTAGTAAACTTTTTCTTGATTTTGGGTTCAATTTGAAGTGCATGAGTTTCATTCAAAGATGACAACTCATGTGGTTTCTCCAATGAAATGTTAAAAGTTACATTCTTTTGTGTAATAACCTGCTTTAAGAAAAAAAACAAACATATATAGATCAAATCAATCGATCTTCGATCAGATTCATCCACGACGAACACAGAGCTTGAACTACTCATCAAATATGTAACGATAATTGATTTGTACATACAAATTATTTCCACAATAACAATATCTACTAGTATTAATATCAATATTTGCTTTACATTATGAAATCACTTCGAAATAAGGTAAAGTCGAAACAAAAACATAAAAAGAAACTTTTCTTCTTTTCTTTTTTCCCCTATCATTGGATAAAAAGTACAACTTCTAAGTGCC